CCCAGGTGTTACACATGTGACCAGGCTGGGGCCCACGTCCTCAGCCCAAACAAGCTTCTCCTTCCCAGCACCAGGAATCCCCAGGGCTCTGACTGGACGGTCCCCCCGGTGTCCCCGGACTGGGCCAGGCTGGGCCACCTCATTGGGAGGAGGCTGGGAAGAAGGAATGGGGAGCGGCTGGCTCAGAGAATAGCTCCGTGCCTTCCACAGGCAAGAAAGGGACCCGGGAACGTCTGCTCTCTGTTGGGCGGATCCTCCCATGTTGTCTGAGCAGGAAGCCAGACCTGCCCAGCCCGGAGGGGAAATAAACTCTGGGTATTTTTAGAAAGCGGGAAACCCGTTTCTCAGCAGGGTGGGACTTTAACGCTAAAAATGGCTTCCTTGCTGAAGTCCCCCCCCCATTTCCTGTAGGGAGGGGACCAGGATGTGGGGTGACCAGGGCCAGTCATGCCTGGGCGTCCCTGGCCGTGCCTGGCAGGGGCTGGTCACACCTGGCCACTCCTGGGTGTCCCTGGTCGTGGCTGGCAGAGGCTAGTCACACCTGGTCACTCTTTGATGTCCCTGGCCATGCCTGGCGGGGGCTGGTCACACCTGGTCACTCCTTGATGTCCCTAGCCATGTCTGGCGGGGGCTGATTATGTCTGGCCATTCCTGCCACGCCTGGCTGGGGTCGATCGGGGCTGGCTATGCTTGGCTGGGGTTGCCTGGCCCATGGGCATCCACTCCTGTGGCTGGCCTTGCCCCTGAGTCCCCAGGGCTGTGCAGGAATTCCCTGTGGTGACGATGGTGACGGGGAAGGTGTGAGCCAGGCACGTGCCAAGTGCCTGACACTGATCTCATTCAGGCGTGGGGACAGGCGTCACGCTCCTGCGAATGGCTATCTCCGTGCCAAGCAGCCTGAGTGCTGTGACCCTGGACAGAGCTGGGCCCCCCGCCGGCCATCTCTGTGGCCACACAGCCCTGGCCGGCGGTCACCCTTTTGATCGCCTGATCCCCCAGCCCTTTGCATTTCCAGCCTCTGGACATCCGTCCTTTCCACGTGTCTTCTGCACGCCTCGGGAAGCAGTGCGGGTTTCTGTGTGGGATTTGTTTTGATTTGATTTGATTTTGAATCGGAGTCTCGCTCTGATTCCAGGCTGGAGTGCAGTGGCACGATCATGGCTCACCACGGCCTTGACCTCCTAGGCTCAGGTGATCCTTCCACCTCAGCCTCCTGAGTAGCTGGGACTACAGGCACATGCCACCACACCTGGCTAGTTTTTGGGGGGTTTTTTTGGTAGAGATGAGGTCTCGCTATGTTGCCCAGGCTGGTCTCAAATTCCCGGGCTCAAGCCATCCTCCCTCCTGGCCTCCCAAAGTGCTGGGATTACAGGCATGAACCACCACACCTGGCTCCTGGGTAGGACTTAAAATCCGACAGAGTACGCTTAGGGCAAAACACATCTTTAAAAGCTGGCGGGTCTGATTTTCAGAAGCTGCAAATAGTCACTTGGAATCAAAGCTGTCTGAGGTGGACGACTGAGCTGAGAAAAAAACCCAAAAATTTGGTTTGAAAGGAAAACTCGAGTGATTAAAAAAAGCAAAGCCTGTCCTAAACTGGCACTGAAAGCAGCTATTCCTAGAAGAAGTTGACGGAAGGTGATCTGAACAACGGCAGCACCGAGGGCAGCGTCTCCCAGGCAGGAGACAGGCCCAGTTCTTTGAGAGGGGACACGTCCCCTCATATGGAGACAGAGGGTCAGCAGTGCCACGCACGGATATTGGCAGTGTCGTGGTAATTTCTGACAACCAGGAGCGGGGCCACCCGTTCACAGGGCAGTTGGATCCCGAGGGCGGCGTGGCTGGACACCTGGGACGGTGACACACGGCTACACCCCCGCTCCCCGAGCCCATGGGCGGAGGCTTAGGCAGGCCCGGGCGGCGCCTCTGCCCAGCTCGGAGCCCGCTGGGTGGGAGCCAGGTCCCTGGAAGCCTCGCCGCCTTTCCAGCAACAGCCACGACTTCAAAGGCTGCCACGGAACGGGCTGGGCGGCCATGAACTTCCGGGGCTGCACGGCGCGTGGGAGTCCTGCACATCGGGGCTTGGAAGCACCAAGGCTCCCAAGGGAGGGAGGAAGAGGGCGCCACCCGTGGACTGGCCCTGAGCCGGGTGCCCGAGGCTGAGGTCACAGACACCAGATTCAAGGACTCCCAGCCCCAGCTGGGGCACCTCTCAGGCCGGGCCCACGGCACCCTTGTGCCCTCTTCCCGGCAAGCCTGGCCTCCATGACCCAGTCTTCAATGGCCCTTTTCTCCCCTCTGGATTGCCTGTCCCTGTTAGCCGAGCTGTACCTACAGACCAGAGAGCAGCCACAGAGGAGGCCAGGACAGTCCAGGAGGCGACACCCCGGCGGCAGGAAGGCTCTGCAGAGGATAGACAAGGCGGCAGAAACACCTGGAGTGTGCGGCCCCCACGGGGCCCAGCGAACAGGAGCGAGGCTTGCGTGGTCCCAGCTGTAAGTGGCTGTGATGACCTCACCTGGTGGGGGACCGCAAGGAAACAGGAGGTACCATCTGGCAGCCCTCCGTGTCTGCACGTGGAAAGGACACACAGATTAGCTGCGTGAATGAATGAATGAGGAACGAGCACTGTCATATCCAGCACCGCTTAGGTCGCCTCGTGATCCTTGAAAATCAGGAAAACAAGTTTCAAGCAGTCTTTTCTACCCTCGGCCCCCTGACTGTTCTGCATTCTACATTTGTTTTTTTATTTATTTTTATTTTTATTTTGAGTTGGAGTCTCACTCTGTCGCCTAGACTGGAGTGCAGTGGCACGCTCCCGGCCACCGCAGCCTTGACATGCTGGGCTCAGGCGATCCTCCCGCCTCAGCCTTCCAAGTAGCTGGAACTACAGGCGCGTGCTACCACACCCGGCTAATTTTTTATTTATTGTAGAGACGAGGTCTTGCCAAGTTGCCTGGGCGGGTCTCAAACCCGCAGGCTCAGGCAATCCACTTGCCTCAGCCTCCGAAAGTGCTGGGATGACAGGCTGAGCCACCATATTCCAGATACTTTAAATCGGGGCTTTAAGGTTGGACGGAAGAACACAGAACCGCACAGAGAGCGTCGCATCACACAGGTGGCGCGTTAGGAAGCGTGGCTCCGTGAGCCCTGCGCCCTGAGCCCAGGAGGCGAGACCCGAGTCCAGGCTTCATGGCCGCTGGAGGCACAGGCACAGGGGGCCCTCCTTAAGCCTTTGCACTCTTTGAAGACGGTCTCTGCAGGACAGAGGTTATCTCCCCCAAAGCCGAGATGCTTAGACGTCCAGTGAATGGTCAAGGAAAAGGGATGAAGTCTGTCTGATTCCATGGACCAGGAAACTGTTGTACAGAGAGCCAGTTGAAAGCTGAAGAGGACCGTGTGGCATTATGTCACCGTTATGTGTCGGGGATGTGGGTTGTATCAGGATTTAGGCCACAGAGGGCCGAGACACCTTTAGGAGCAAGGACGTGAGTCTAGGCCGGGCGTGGGGGCCCATGCTTGCAAGCCCAGCACTTTCGGGGGCCGAGGTGGGAGGATCGCTTGAGCCCAGGAGCTTGAGACCAGACTGGGCAACATAGCAAGACCCCACCTCTACAGTAAATTAAAAATCGGCCAGGGGCCATTGCCTTGCTAGACTGGTGTGGCCATGTGCTCTTTGAGCTATGGCTGTCGTCATGCTTCCTGGCTTTGGTCCCTTCCCCCACCTCAGGGAGGTGAATCTCTTCTTCTTCTCTAATTTACTTTTAAACAAACTTCTCTTTCTTAAAAAACAAAAATCGGCCAGGCATGGTGCTGCATGTTTGTAGTCCCTCCTAGCTAATCGGAAGGCTGAGACAGGAGGATCTTCTAAGCCCAGCGGGTTTCGGCTGCAGTGAGCTGTGATTGCACCACTGCACTCCATCCTGGGCAACAGAGCAAGATCCTGACTCTGAAACAACAATAACAATAACAACAAGCCGGGCTTGGTGGCTCAGCCCGAAATCCTGCACCTTTGGGAGGCTGAGGTGAGTGGAATGCCTGAGCCCGTGGGTTCGAGACCCGCCTGGGCAGCTTGGCGAGACCTCATCTCTACAATAAATCAAAAATTAGCCGGGCGTGGTAGTGTGCACCTGTAGTTCCAGCTACTCGGAAGGCTGAAGTGGAAGGATCGCCGGAGCCCAGCAGGTTGAGGCTGCGGTGGCCGGGAGCGGCCACTGCACTCCAGTCTGGGCGACAGGGTGAGACTCCGACTCAAAAACAAAAAACAAAAAACATTAACAACAAAAGGGCAGCCCCCTTGTTGCGTGTCTCAGCCCTCCCAGGCAACCCACTCACATGGAAGGCGGTGTGCTGACCCAAGGCTCAAACAGGCCCGTCCCCTAAGGTGTGCATGCCAGGCACACAGCTTCCTTGTTCCCTCAGCCCCACCTCGGGAAGGCATTCCCAGAATGTAGGTCACTGCCCTTGGCAGCCTGGCTGCACACACACTTGGAGGTTAAAGTTGGTGAAGTGTGGCCTGTTTGTCCACCGCCGAGTGCCAGCAGCCTCAGCTTCCACATGGGAATTCTTACCTGTGGCCAGGGTGGGACTGTCGCAGCCACGGCCTGACTGCAGCGGGGGATGGGGGGG